CCTGCCAGCAGCACGGGGAGGAGTAGGAAGCACTGTGCCGCTACTGTAGAACATGGCAAGGAGGGTCTCCCTGCCCTGCTCCCGAACGAGAGCCTGCTTCCTGAGGGATCCAGATTTCTGCCAAGACTCCCTCCTTGCCCCTTGGCCCTTTTGCACTGCTTGGGCTGTTAGCATCCCTCCAGGGGCATTAGGCAAAGGGCCCTCCTGGCAGTTCAAACACTAAAGGTTGAGAGAACACTACTAATAACCTGCAGTTTGAGAAGTGTTACCCTTGCCAACAGGAACCCATGCTGCCAGGAGCTTGGTGGCTGATTTGCTGGGGGCAACCAGAGCAAGCCAGGAGCATCCATCCTGGCCTGCAGGCTGGGCTCTACAGGGAGGGGAAGGTCAGCAGTGGGTAAAGGAGGAGTGCATTTTTCCCCTCTTGCGGGAGTCCTGTTTTACCCCTTTACTCTTTCTTTACCTCTTCTGTATTTTTAAGGTTTTGCACAGTTCTTGTAAACATCACTTAAAAATAAATTTCCCCTACCAAGGTTGATGCAGCCTCAGGTGTTTTCCTCTGCAGGAATTTGCTGGCTGCTCATGACCGAGAGACCTGTTACATGCCAGTTAGATGCCTTGGAGATTGAAGGTGTGCTTGCCCATCAGCCTTTCACTCTCTGTCTTTGGAGACATTAAGATGTTAATCATCCATCTGTGGGGATACTCAAGCCCTTGCTGGATGTGGTCCTGGACGGCCTGCTGTAGCTGACCTTGTGTGAGCAGGTTGGACAAGATGATTCCCCAAGGTCCCTGCCAGCCTCAGCTCTTCTGAGAGCTGTCCCTTGTGTGAGGCAGGAATACTGTGATGAGCAGTAATTAGTGAGCAGCAGCCAGTAAGTTGCCTGTGTGCTGCACAGATGATGAGAACAAGGTTAGTAAATGTTGCCCACAGCAAGTATAGGCAGATGAACCCTGCAGAAGGCTGGGCAGCGCCTGCTTTGCTGGTTGGGGACACGCATCTAAAAGGTGGAGAAGGACTTCTATTTCAAGGATGGTGAGGGGGGACGGGGACAATTCAGTGATAGGTCTGACCCTGCGGCTCAGCCTTCTTTATGTGCAGCTTTAAGCAGATTAAAGCAGACCTTACTCTGTGCTGCCCAAGGAAGAGGGACCGATGATTATCTTCATGCTGCCTCAGAGATGTAGAACTTCCTACCGAGTTTTCTGTCTGTGTTTCTATTTCCTTTTTTCTTGTTTTGTTTTGCCTTTTTTTTAAAAAAAGCAGTTTGTTAATATTCATTAAAAATACTGTATAGTTTAACTTGATGTCATACTGGATCTTTTAAACAACAAAAAAAGTGATCCCTTGTTCTTTTTTAAAGACCTCTTTCGTTCTAAATAACTGGGTTTTGCTGTTTAATATGTAGCAATTTCAATGTATGCTTTACTGTAGGAGTAAAAATTAGTCCAAGGAAGGCTAATCCTGTCTTTACAGAAGGGCTTGGTGATGACCAAGGATTTGAATACGGGACCAGGGCCAGCTGAGGAGCATGGCACCCACCTGAGGCTTGGCTCCGCTACTGCCCAAGCTCCACATGGCTGCCACAGGTCCCACAGAGCCAGGGGTTCTGCAGCAGCCAGAATCAGTGCCCACAGCTGGAGCTTGCAGAGAAGCTCATCTTTAGTAGGAGCAGGGTGTGAAATGGAGGGTGCTGAAGCCCCCAGGGGCTTTTGTGGCTTTATTTTTTTCCAGGGTAGCTGCTGGCTAAAGGAGGGGGTTGGAGGAATTGTTGACATGGCCATGGCCCCTGCGTGGCTGTGTCCTGTTATTTTCATTCCCCAGGTCCCCAGTGGTTGCCTGAGTGGCTGGGCAGCCTCAGGTACTTGGGGCAGAGGAGGGTGGCAGTGTGCCCCAGGCACAGCTCTGCACCATGCACTGGCCACCGACCTGCTGGATCCCATCCCCTTGATACCCCTGGATATAGGGACTGTTGGGGAGTGTTTGTTTCCCTCAAGCTGCACAGCTGGGAAAGCCTTTGGTGTCCCTGCAAGGAGCTCCAGCTCTAACCAGGATGTGGGGCCCCATGCCTGGGAGAGAGGGGGTGCTGTGGGGAGCTTGGTGGGGACAAGCCCAGGTCCAGGTCGTCAGCCAGTGCTTGTGAGCTGGTGCTTCCAGGTTCAAAAACATCTTGGTGCGGCATTAAAGCATCATTAAGTAGGACTGGTTGTTGTGACTCTCTTGTTTGCTGCCCAAATCCACTACAAGCCCATGTTGGCTTCTGCTGCCAGACCTTGGTACTGGCTGGTGGATGACCCATGCAGAGTGGGCTGCTGAGTGGCCACCCAGAGCCTCAGGGGTGTTTTTTTTTAGGGAGGTTGTCTAGTTAGAAGCAGCAGATCTATCTCTGCTGCTGTGCCTTTGGGTCCTGTTTTGACCCGAGAGGTAATGGAAATGGCCAGAGGCACATGGGTGTCAGGAGTGTGGTGCTGGATGGGGAAGCAGAGGCTGTCTGGGGACCCACCACCAAGGGCTCTGCTAACTGCTGATGTTTCCTTTTCAAACCAAAGAGCAGTTGTGGCCAAAGCCTCGTGAGTAAAAGATGTTTCTACTCTGTACATGTGTTGCACTTTGCTTCTGACATTTATTTCAAGAGACTTTCAGGCTTCTTCATGCTGCCTCCACTTGGCCTCTGGCATTACTCACTGCCCCACAGCACCCAAGAGGGTCACAGTGCTGGAGATGGTGTTGAGTGTGTCTTCAAGAACTGGTGACCAGACCTGAGGATACTCTGCAGGGCAGTGCAAACACAGGATGGTGCTGGGGAGGGTTCAGCTGGCCAGAGGCTGTGTGGATGTTGTCCAGCGTCTCTCCAGGGCTGCTGTTCCTCTGTCTTCCTGGGTCCAGGGAGAAAGTAGACCTGGGCTTTTTGTTGATCTTCACTTCCTCTTAGCCTCCCTACAGGATGCCTTTAGCTATGTCTCAGCCTCTTCCCCTCCACAGCTATTTTGCTTATATGTTTGTAAGATAAGATCTTGGCTTCTTCACCCTTTATTCAATTCTTTATTTGTAAGCAGCAGTTTGGTTTTCATCCTTTTTTTTCCGTTTTGATTATGAGGTCTCTTCCCCCTTTCCCATCCCCAATTCACTTTGCCCTGCCCCAAATTCCTCTCCCAGGCTGAGATCCAGGTGATGCAAAACCATGATGATAAGGTCAGGTGCTGGGGACCCCAGTCTTGCTGGAATGCAGTAGGTGCGTCTGGTCCTTCTCCCCATGAGGCTGTCCATCCCACTGGGCACAGGCTATGCCTTTGGCTTAGCAGCTTGGCTTGGCCACGTTGTGCCTGTGGTGCAGCTCTGCTCTGGTGCGTGAGCCTGAGCAACAGCAGGGCTGTAGGAAACAGGCGCTGGGGTGAAAGCGGCCATTTCCGTAGTGGGTCCCTTTGTCACATCTCCAGGGCTGGGCATGAAGTCAGTGAAGGGCTGTCAGACATTCCTGGGGAGAAGTCATGGCATTGGAGGGGTGTGGGGGTGTCGGACCACTCAGTTCCCTTGCGAATGCTTATGGAGCAGCTGTGGGCATCAGGCAGGGACCAGAGCTCAGTTGGCTGGGGTGTGGGGACCCGTAGGACCACCAGTATCCCAGGTGGCCCTGACAGCTATCTGGGGACCATGTGCCATCTGTGCCATCCAGAAGGGAAGACATGCACGCTCTGGTCTTGGGGCCCATGCGCTGGAGTGGGGGGCGAGGGAGAAAGAGAAAGCGTCCTCTTACAGTGGTTTGGGACCACTTCTGGGTGCTTCAGCCTGGCTGTGCACTGTTAGGAGGGAGGAGAGCACTTTCTACACTTCCCTTGGGTATTTACCATCAAATCAAGGCTGAAGCCACAGCCTGGCTATTAATATGAAGTAAAAAACCCACTTGTTCCGTTTGACTGTTCCTCCCTTGGGTGGCGAATACGGCTGGGGAAGATTCCTGCAAACATGATGCTGAGATGCAGGAATGGCCGCTGCAAGGGCTGGGGCCAGCAGCTGCCTCTGCTGCTTCCTGGGCATGAAGAAGCTGCTATCACAGCATGTCTGGGGTGCTCGGTTGGAGAGCAGCACAGCGGGAGGGAGCTGGACCATGGGCTTATCTACATATCCTCCAGGCCAGGGATCTGAGGGATTCCATGGCTGTGAGGTTTTCGGTTATCCTGACCTGTGCTCATGCCTCTGGCAGAGTTCCCCAGGGCCATGGGGAGTTGTGGTCAAGGATACTGTGGTTTCTGTGGCTTGCAGTGCCTTTAACACTGCTCTCTGTGTGTTTCTAAGATGATACTCCATGTATGTGTGTATA